TGGTCCTGACGCAGCAAGAGAGTGAACCTGAAAGAATCATAAAGCGGAAAAGATAATTACTATAATAAGTAATAAATTGTTTTAATGTGTACTTATTTATTTTGTCAAAAAATATCATGATATTTCATATTTATAATCTTTAAAATAAAATAATATTTTTTTGTTGGTAAAAAATATTTATTTTTTCCAGAAACATTTTTAATCTTATATTTTATAAATATATATACACATGTTAATTATTTATTAATTATGTTTTCTTATATACTATTAATTATGTTGGTAAAAAAATATATTATTAACAATTTTGTTCATTCAAATTAAAATATATTATAAAATCTATATTTTATGTAATTATCCTATTAACTTATACCCTTTTTAGTAATTTGCACATATAAAAAGTACTTCTGATAATAACTATCCAAACACTCTCACTTCTCAGAATTACTTTTTCACAAAATCTATTCTCCTCAGAATATATTCTCCAAAAGCGATTCTCCAAACCATGGTTTGGTTTTATCCAAACACCCCCTAAATAACTTTCTCGGAGACATCTTTAATTTCTGTGGCGTAAAAAGTTTAATGTCTCACATTGTAAGCAAAGCAAACATGCAGATGCCCTCCCAACACCATCTCTCTCTTCTCCCCCTTTGATACTTTTTTTTTTTTGGGGAAAAAATTGTTTATAAGTTTCGTAAGCCTTAATAACAACTTTGATATTTAAAATTTTATAATTTTAGAGATTTCTAACCTAATTTTTAGATTAAAACTAAGATTTCAATGTACTTTTCTTTGTCATTATCATGTCCCCCCTCACACAAAAGACAAGAAAATAAAAGCCGAAAAACTTTCAATTTTTAAATGCCCTCACCATGTGGCTTTCCAATGCAGAGATCTTAGTACTATTATATGCACACACACTCACACACTCACATATATAGTTTACAGACGATGTTGCCGTTCGTTGCTTCACTTGCAAAATTCACTTCCAGCGCTCGTACCATTTCTGTCTGATCTCTCTCTCCTTCATCCCAAGCAGAACCAATATATATATATATCATCACTTTCTTCCAAATACCTGTGAGTCACGTTCTAACTCTTGTGATTTGTGAACATCACAGACAAAGCATGGAGTCTAGAAACGTTCATATCGATCACCAAAAGAGGCCAAGCGTGGAGGAGCCTGGTCCAGAGAAGAAGAATAAGAAGCAGAAGAAGACGATAATAAGTTACAAAGAATGCCTGAAGAACCATGCAGCTTCAATAGGAGGAAATGCAACAGATGGGTGTGGCGAGTTCATGGCTGCAGGAGAAGAAGGCACACCTGAATCTCTCAAATGCTCAGCCTGCAAATGCCACAGAAACTTCCACAGAAAACACTTTGAATCTGAAGATTCTGATGATGATACGCCTTCTTCTCCATATTATGATTCTCGTCGCCATCACCATCACCATCATCATCATCTTCTTAATCTTCCATCACAGATGATGATGCTTCCAAATAATGATGATCATGATCAGGTCGAGATGAAACCCTTATTGACCCATGATTTGTGTCTCACAAGTTATAATAAAAGTGGGTCAAATGGTTCATCAGATCATGAATCTGATGAAAAGAGGGTGGTAATGAGGAAGAGGTTCAGGACCAAGTTCAGTGAAGAGCAGAAGGAGAAGATGCTGAGATTTGCAGAGAAGGTTGGGTGGAAGATGCAGAAAGTGGATGAATCCATGGTTCAGCAATTCTGTGAAGAAGCTGGAATCAAGAGAAGAGTGCTCAAAGTGTGGATGCATAATAACAAGAACAATCTTGCCAAGAGAAATCTCTTATCCACTAGCTGAATTCATTGTAGTGTTATTAATTATCATTCTTCACTGAATCATTTTTCTCAGTTTGTTTGCTGTTTTCAAGGAATTTCAGTGTCAAAGTTTGAGTTTGACGAATTACTGCAGCTGAGTTTATCTCAGTATATATAGAGTACATTAAATCACTTGTGGGTTCATTATATTGTCTTTCAAATTGGAGTGCTTAAATCAAGGTTGTGGTCTAGAGAAAGGTGTTTAAATCTATGATTTGTAAAGGTAATCTACTCTATTGGAAAATAACGAAATAGTTTCAATAACAGCAGCAAAAAGAAGGTAACTAGGAGGTAGCTAGTTTTGGCCCGGGATTGAATACTGTAGGATTCAGTTTGTCAACATGCATGCTCGCTCTATGATGGTTTCTCTTTCTCTTTTGCTTCAAAGGAAGGTTTTAAACACACACACACACACACACACGCACACATGGCTGCGATTGAAAATGTAAATCAGGCAATTAAAGAAGTTGGGCTCTATTAGTGAGAAATGCAAAAGTTATCGGATGATCATATCTTCCATATATAGCTGTTGCAGGGAATTGAATTGGCTATTGCAATCATATTGAGTCTTTGTTTAGTTTTGTTGGTTGTGTTGCTGTGTTTAGTGTTTGTGCGGAGTACCTTTGTTTGGCGTATGTGAGCTCTTTCTATAAACGAAAATGTTTTCCCGGCAAAGTTAAAAATATGGGGTACTTTACTGTTTAGTGACTACTGGCTTTTATGTGGAAGTTTCGACAATTTATGTCTGATTAGAGCTTATTGGCATTTTTATTTGCAAATCCTTTTAGTTTATTCAACCCTATAAATTAAACATACATACATGTAATTAAAATATTTAGATTTAATTATAAGGATAAATATTATTTTTAGTAATAATCTTAATTCATCTAATTAAAATCATATTTTCAAGGTAAATTTTTTATTTTTTAATGAAGAATATTTCGATTAAAAATTTAAAATTAAGTTAAAAATGTTAAAATATCAATTAAATAATTTTGACAAGATAAAAAATAGCATAGTTTAAGCAGACATATATACATATTTATTATATAATCATGGACTAAGAAAATTTAGATTTGTGGAGAATATCAGGCGTGTGGCGCATGCGCAGAAAGGAATTAGAGCCCCATTATGGAACCTGGTTTAGATAAAATGGCATTTAAAGACCCTCTAAGAATATTAATGATAGTTAAGCATTTTAAATTTTTAAATTTCGAAAAAGAATCACGATCATTGGCAGGAATTAAAATTTTTCTGAGTTAATTTTTTAACACTCATATCTTTCATATTTTTATTATTATATTGGGAAAAAAAGTCAAAAATAATTGTAGAAAACATAGAAAATGGGTATTAAGAATATTAAAGATGAGTACTAAAAGAAGTTAAACTGAAAATTGCTTTAATTAAAATAAAGAATCATGATTTTTTTTCCAAATTTTTAAAGTCCTTAATTATCATTAATATTTATCAAAGGTTTTTAAATGTCATTTCCCCAAATGTTTAAGCTATATATAAGAGCATAGGATACCTATATCGTTTTATAAATAAAGGGTTACAATAAAATTAGGTTTAAGTAATGATAATGATAGGCACTAATTGATGTTTCCATGATCTATATTTGGTGCGTTAAAATGGGCAGAGAAGTTTATTAATATAGTAATTGTTTAATATGAAAGGCAGGCTAGTGGATTTACTAAGCAGCTAATCTTGATTTCATTCCCTAATCTTGATTTCATTCCTTTGTCCTTGTTTATTAATGATTGTTATATAGTAATTAAGTATTAATTTATAAAGCACTTTCCAATTAGATTATTGCCAGGATGATACTGAATACAATCATACAGTCAAAATATAAGATTTAGTTTGTAATACAACATTACAAACTAGATCTTATATTTAAGATTGTAGGTAGTATTTCGTATTTTACAATCATACAGTTAGATCTTGTATTCGGAATAACCTCACTTCAATTCTATTTCCTTCTTCGGAAGGAAAAAGAAAGAAAGAAAGAAAAACAACTCTAATTGAAATGATCCAGACTCTTCTCAAGTAAAGTCAAAAGTTTGTTGGATTATTTATAATTAAATTCGATAATGCTTGAATTTAACTTGATAATACTGAGTATTAGAGATATGATTGTACAAAAAATGTGCTGAGGAAGAAATAGAGTACTGCAAAAATTTTGACTCTAGCATAGCAATATGTTCACTAACGAATCCTGCTCAGAGGCAGTTCAACATACAAATAGATGCAAGTTAGGATGCAAGTAACATATAGAGTTAGAACTAATCAGATCTCACAAAAAGGTTTTGAATGTAAACAAAAAGGGCATTTCAGAAGTTAGATTTTACGGTGTTTCAGATTCTGTAAGGAGACTTGTGGGGAAAACAATCACAATCGTTAGTCATTATAGATCCAAAACAGAAATTTGATGGATGAAATTGTAAATGGCGCTGATGGTCAAAAGCCCTTCATTAAGTAATTTAGTTTTTGGTACTGGTGGAGCCATTAAAGAGTGGGAGGCTAACTTAAAACTGAAATTTATATAAACAACTTTTTACAGGGAAAAAATATATATTTTAGCAAATAACACGGTGGGATCATTGGGGCGGGGGTTTGGTTTGAGGGCAGGGACGGAGCCAGAAATTAATGAAAGGAGTGACATGAAAATTTGAAAAAGTTTAGGGGATGGGCTTTGTAATTTACTCTAATAAATGATGTGATATAAATTAAATATAAAGGGGTTTCTTCTTGGTATGGAGGGCATCTGCCCCTATACTGAAAACCCGCTTTTTATAATGCCATCAAAATCTCCAGGTCTAATATCGCATGGCGAGACCGATTTCCAGAATAGTCACCCAAAAATGATGGAAAGAAAGAGAAAAAACCCACTCCGGGGGGAGAACTCAACGTGATTTATTTCTCAAATAGACTGACATATACAATTTTAAAGGAAATATTTTCGCTTACACGACTATTTTTCTAAGGAACAAAATTGCAAACAATATCTTGCTCAACTTTCTATCTTGTAGTTATTCCAAAGTTGGCTCAATGTAATGTGTCTTTTTCCCTGTGATGCCTCTTGCATGAAACACGACATACTCCGATGTGTACACAGTCATAGGAAACGAAAGAAGAAAACAAAAGTTGAGAGAGAATGCTTTTACATGGATTCATAGGCAACAGAACACTAGTGCAAAAGATGATGCTTCCATTAATCTAGACAAAATGACTACAGAGAATAAGGGACAGGTACTGGTGAATCCCAATTAACCAGCCAAAACCAAACCTGATTTCTGTAGCACAGCAAAAATATCAAGCAAAGCAATGCGGCTCATTGGACAAAGCTATAGGTTTCATTTTTCAAGTGTAGCCTAAAATTCAGTATCAAAGCAAGAAACCAAGATCTTGGATACCATGGATCTAGCAAAAGGAATGTAGCTCAAGCTATACCTGTCAATCGCAAAATCAGAAAAGGAAGTATTAACTAGTGATTATAACTGGACATTCACAACGTAAGATTAACAATGAAATGCTGGATTTTCGTGAGACAGTTAATTTCGTTACAGTCAGTGCAATTGACCCACTCCTAAGACTCATACTAATGAAACATTCAATTTAAGACAAACGAATGTGACTTTTAAGCAATGTGTTCAAACCACAAGCAATTGAAATGTTAAAGTGTTACGTGCAGGAAACTTTGAAACACTGTGACATACCAAACAAGGGCCCCAAACTCCAAAATAATCGCCAGAAGTGTCAGTAACTTGTTATGAGCCTGGTCAAAATGGTAGGTACTCAGCAATTAACGGAAAAATGATATGTTATAAAACGGGAAACAAATAGAGAATATTGTTATACTGCTACTTACATAAAGAGCACAAATCAAAGCAATAATAATGCTTGCAATGAATATTGCTGTTGCATAGATACGAACAGGATCGAGCATCATTGTCAATTGTCGTTTAGGACCTATGAGGAATGCTGTGCTGCCATGGAATAAAATACACTACTTAGGATTAGAAAAAAGCTAAACACCCCTAATTTTTGAGATACAAGTCATTTGGTCAATTTTATGAAGGTAAACTTCAAGTTGTACAAATAACATTCGGCAAACAAATTAATCCAAGAGAAGAACTTAACAAATTCACATGAGCTAAGACAAATCCTTGGGATAGCACCTCCGGTACATTTTCACTCTACTCCCATGTCTCTGTTTACTGATCAATCTACTTAGAGCACAACTCAATGTACAATAGCATAAGTGAATAAAAGCCCAAAATTTTACACATGATGTTCCCATAATATTTAAAAACCTAGGTCAAACTGGAAAAGAAAAGAAGAGAAAGTATAAAATTTTATGTCAACGTGGACAAATTAAAAAGATATGAATGACTTAATGTGCTTCAATTCTCCTAGCAGAAATTGGAACATGATGGGAAAAATCTCTTCCTCCCCTTCTCTGCACGTTTTTTCATCCTCACTATTAACATTTTCTCTCACAATATAAAATCTCATGACTTCGAATAGAGAGAACTAGAGAAAATCTATAGTCATCCACATTTCTAATCTCGATCATTCAAGCAGCAAGGTACTAGCGAGTAGGATGACGGTGAATAGAAGAATCAAAAGCAGTACATACCTTCCAAGTGAAAGCAAATTACCAAGAGTGAATGTTATCCCAAACTTGATTGGATTGAGGAAAACAATCATTGACTGTGAGATGTAAGAGATAAAAGGCCATTATATTAGTACTTCCTAACATATTCTACATACAGGTAGAAGCAGCAACATTCCTAGGTCCAAATTTTGAGAAGTCTAATGAAATAAGTTATATTGCCGTGGGAGTTAAATGTCAAATATGGGATCCATTTATGAGACTTTTTTCCATCAGTCTTTCATCATAAATAAGCAATTTAAAAATATGAATAAGAATCAAAACTTAAGAGGAAATAATTATTGGAGTTGGTACTGGTCAGATAAGTTTTGATTGTGAGCAAAAAGGGCATTTCAGAAATCAGTATATCAATATGAAAGATAAAACTCTAACAAGTTGCAATATTTATAAACCATAAACAGTGGACTCATTCATCATACTTCATGTAATGCACAAGACCCACAAATAGTTAGAGTACATAATGGTTCCAGGTTCTATAAAATGACACTCAAAGTTTGGAGATTGTGGACACAATTACAATCTTTAGACTTTCTGAAAGTAAGTTTGATAGATAAATTGAAAATGGAGAAAATCAAAAGCCCTTTCATGATGTTGAACCTACAATTGTAGTTTGGAATCATACTCCAATTTTATAATGTTTTCTACAGAGCAGATTTCAACACCGAAAAACTCAAGGACAATATCCTTGAGTTTTGATGATCAGTTATCTTTCTATGCAGAGAAAGACTAAAGAGTGACAGAAAGCAAATCAGTTATAACTACATATCGAATTTTTTTATCTTTTTACATGTCAATCAACTAGAACTACTTGTGTCTAGGAAAAAGCCTGATGCGTAAAGTGAGAAACAAAATTTTAGTATTGAATATTATTTTGATTTCCAAGGGTTAACTTTGTACATCTACAAACAAATCTGCCGCATTGGAGGGTATGAAAGGAAGGATTCTCCAACTAACAATACACTAATCTACCTCATATCTAGATAAATAAAGCTTCGTCTACCAGTTGTCCCCATTGCACGGACAAGTGTAATGCATATCCAAAAGCATGAGGTAAACTTACCAATAATGTACAAGTTAGGCCAGCAACAAAGCATATGATGAAACCGTGTATTCTCTGTTTGTAAAGAAAGAGGTGATTAGTGAAATCTGGAAAGGCATTTTTATGATAGAAATTTGGCGAATGAATCAAACAAATATTTGAAATCTTGTGTGATAGAAGAAAAATGTGTGCTGAAATAAACTTGAGGAGGTTGATGTCCAATGTAAAATCCAAAATAAACGGCCAAGCAACAAGGAAAGGTCAGATGAATAACAGCTAACAAGTAATAAACCACTTGAGTGGATCCCATGGAAAAGGATCAGGCCAAAAGGAAAGAAAAAAAAAAAAAAAAAAAAAAAAGCTCCATTCCAAACCATCTCTTACGGTAACAAGTATTATAGATGCTGCAAATGAAATGAGATAGATCCTTCCTAGTCAAGTGCGAACTTTGGTTCTGTTCTTAAGCTTCTCAGTTCTAATTGAACAATTAAATGACCAAAATATAATATGTAATGAAATGA